GTGTTTTTCTCATGCCTTTTTTTTTTTCTTTTCACATGTTGCCTATCTAACATGCAAGTAATTTTCATTTTAAGATTAAAATACTTTTATCCATCAGAAAATTTTCAAATTTCACATGCGAAATCTTTGTAATGTTCAGATAGTTATCAAATGTTTCTTAAGAAAAAACTTTATATTTTATCTGTTATTTTCAGTAATGAATCTCTGTACAGGTTTGGTTGATTTGACCGATCTTGTAACCATCATAAAAAATTAAGAAATAAATATAAATTATGCTTCTTTTATTCTAGAATGAACACATATTATAACACAAAAACATAAACGTTTAGACTAAATAGGTTAAATATCATAACATTATACATTTATATATATTTAATATTTTTATTATATTGATCTTTCAGCCTTGCCTGGCTAACAATTGAAAAGTTACAATGATGAGGCTCACGTGCACTCATGTTACCATATCAAATAACATAAAATTGACCTTTGGTCTGTACAAAGTAACTTGTCTTGGCTGTGTTTTAGTAGACTAGTATTTTGTGAAATACAGTTACATTTCAATTATTATACATTATATATATGTATATAGATTATTGCTATTTTGAAATAAGTTATTAAACTTATTTTTCTTAAAACATAGAACAGTAAATAAAGAAGTAAAGCAAACAACTATCTCATCTAGTTACGATCTTTGTATTTGGTTACTACTTGACTTAGGTTGCTAAACCTTTAAAAATTTTGCACATGGAGAATATGAAACAAAATATTTTTTTTAGGTTTTATTGAATATTGAAGTTTGTAGGTGATAGTGTGTTAGTGGTACAAAAACATTTTGCTTGTGATGTTAATAAAACACATAAATTCAAAAAGTAAATGAAAGATAAAAATAAGAAACCCTACAATTCATGTGCTTTCAAAAGTGCACAAGTTATAGTTTTTCTTGTTTTTTGTAAAACATTTTGTTAGTGTTTAGGTTTGTAGCTGAGGTGTATAAATAATATGTTTTGTTAGAAGCATTTTAATGGACTTTACTATGTAGGAATTCTGATGTAGTAGGTGTTTTATGTTCCAGAGTCCAGGATTAATCTTTATTAATGGTATAACCAAAAAGCCACCAGAAAACAATTTGTTTAATTCTTCTCCTGAAATTCCACCTCCTATTCCAGCTCGTACATTTGAAACCATCTCACCATCAAATGTAAGTTTAAATTTCTTGTAAAGTGCATACATCCAATATTTATTATTAGTCTTCTTTATCTCTCTCTCTCTATTTTTAAGTATTTCCAGCCTAAAATTCTAAGTTTGATAAAGGTGTAGCTACTTTTTTTGCTTATATATATTTTTTTCTTTCCTTTCCAATAATATAAAGATACAATACCAGTTTTTTTTACATCTATGGTATTTATAACAAAGAGGAATGAAAAATATTTTATCTTACATTATTTAATTACCGTATTGGCCCAATTATAAGGTGGTGTTTTTTTTATTAATAATTATGCTGTAAAATTCATAGTCGCCTTATAATCGTGGCTGACCACAGACCCCTTCCCCCTTCATTAGCCTGTCACATTCCTAAATATCCAGATATTTGTTCAAGTACATCACTAATTGTTGCAACTAATCCATTTGCAGGCTGTTCAGTTATGGTATTGATTTTGAGGACCTAGAAAAAAAAGATATTAAGACACTCAGTTTTTTTTTCCCATGATTTCTGAAAATGGGTGTCACTTTATATTCGAGATTGCCCTATAACAGGCCAATATGGTATTACTCAGTAGTTTTTGTGATATATTTTTCCTCAGATTCTTGCAGAGTAATTTTTGTTTAAAGTGTTTTAACTGTCGGCTTTAGAATCGCAGATTAACTATTCAGTAAATGTGAATAAAGAAGACTATGCAGTATTTATGTTATATATTTATAGTCGCCTAGGAATATTATTAAAAGGTTTATTAAAATCAGGCTGACTTACCCTTTAAATACTTAAAGCTTTTCCTTAATGAGTTTGAACTCATGTTGTCAGCAAAATATTTGACTAAAATTTCCAAATGACCATTATGTATTGCATAGAATACACCATTTACCCATAATTCTCCAGTTCTGCTTTTTTGCTATAATTTAGGTTTTCTTTTTGACAGTCGTGCTGTTCACTTTGCTGCAACTTTTTTTATTTATGCAGCATTTTCCAACACTATCAGAGTATCTATAACTTAGTTAAAGGTGTTATTTACATAGTTTGTCTGTAACATGTAGGGCAGATTGTTATTGCTATGTCACTGCTCTCATGGTTTAATGTATTTGTATTATTGTTTACTGATATTTCTGGTAGGTATCACAGTTGTGTGGACACTTGATTTACATAAAAATTTTCTTTTGTGTGTGATGAAGGTTGTTTTTTATTTTGTCTCAGGCCTAGTTGACTTCATAGTCTGCAGAGCTGGTTTTTATCTGTTACTATATTCTGACAAAGTGATTATTTTATTTCTCCCACCATCTCTTGATATTGGGGTAGCAGATATATTTGCAAACTAACCCCATTATCATATATATATCATATTCCCATTTTACTTGTACTCTTCCTTTTTTGGCCCCAAAATTGGGTTCTGGAGAAGGTTTATTCCATATGGATTTTTTACTTTGACCATTGTCAGTTTTCTACTCTGCACTTTACGATTTGTCTTGTTTTGAGACATTATTTTTCTGCACCATTATTAGTTATTCTTATTCTCCCGATCATTTTCATCAGGATCACGTATCTTTTTCATGTCTTCCTTATACATGTAAACAAAAATCTTCATTTATCTTTGCAGGTATTTTACTCTAACTTGAGTCCCATTTAGAGGAAGCATGCCAGCAGGAGTTGATTAGGGTTTTAGAATCTCATTTTCTTTCCCCACATCATTTCCTTGTAGAGTTTTGGGTGCAATGTTTTTTGATACTCACTTCTACTCATATCTTTAGTGTGTCTTATCTTTGATGTAAGCAAAGTGGGTCTTTATGACCCACTCATTTTACTCTGAAAAGGTCTAAGTGTAACTATAAAGCAATAAAACCCAGATTTGAAACATGTTTATTAGCTTTGACTATAAGAGTAAATGATATGTAATTATCTGTTACAATATGTAGTCATTCGAGAAAAAAAAAAGGTAATCTGGATTTATTTTGTATTTTTGAACTTTTAATTTACCCCTACATTGGTGATTTTTTACAGCTAATGTTAGGGTAGAGAAAATAACAGATCAAATATAAATTTTTAATGAAAAACAACTTATGATACTCACTTAGGAGGTTCTAGGGGTTTTACAAATGAAATATGAAAACTGTAACATGAAAATCACCTTGCACTCAGATTAGTCTGAGTCTGAATCAGACTGTCTCAGTAAATTCACAGACAAAACTTTAGTAAAAATGCTTTATTAAAAATTCTGATGTTCTATGTGCAACAGAGTTTCATATTTACTAAAAGCTTGCCTTATTATGTGCAGATACACATAGTAAATTCAGAAGTCCAGTAAACATTAATTTTTCATCATTTCAATGAACCGACTCTGTGCACATAGGGTTAAGAATTGGTTTGTGCAGTTAATTCATCATGTTTATTACAATGTTCCTAACCACCTGAAGTATGGATCTAATGTTATATCTCATCTAATCAAAAACATCTTAGGTGTGAAAAAAAGGTGCAGCCAAAAAATAATTCAGCATGTGACTTATAGGAATGAAATCAAAATTGGCGGCCAAACTGGTAGCTACACTTATAGCATTGATAAGAATTTCACAGCAAATATTCATTTATTAGTTAGCCAGGCTGCATTTTTTGTTCAGTTTGGGTCATAATGGTGGGTAAAACAAATTATCTGGCCTATAAATACTTTTTGTGAATACACACCAAGAAACCACACCAAATAAGAAAGTGACACTCGATAGTAACCAACATTAGCTTTAGGATCATAACCCTACTACTTAGAACAGGCCTTTAATTTACAGAATCAACCAAATTCTTTAAAATATATAGTGGTAGTTTTCCCTCTCTAAAACAGTGTTAATAGCTTCCTTTATACTAATGCCATAGAATTTAGAATCACAGTTTCTTGTTATCACCCACATGCAATCGGTACAGTCATATCGAACATCATTATTTATGCTACTTGCTTGAGCTAATATCGCGTGATGCTAAATGCTCTTTAATTAGGATAATTTCATAAAATTTAGTAAATTTGTGCTGAAAAGTTGGCAGTGAATAATGAATAACAATCATGCATCTGTATGATTCCTTTGAAAACTTGAGCTAAAAACTGCTAATGTAGTTTGCTTTTCCTAACCAATACTTATATATCTGCACACCCTTTCATCTTATAGTTTTGCTGCTCTAAATCAGCCATATTTAACTCAAATGACAAAAACTTAAAAATGGTCCACTTTTATTTTTAGGTGAAACTGTAGTAAAAATGTTGGACCAATAGTTCTGTAACCATGCACAAAATTTTTTATAAAATTTGAGCGATTTTTGTTGAATAAATTTGCACATGTGGTTTATATTTACACCAAATGAGACTCCTAATTGTTCGTTGTAAAGACCTGTCAGTGTACAAAATTTGAAAAAAAAATCCATAAAAGTTAAATATGTTTTTCTATCAAATAAAGTTTCCATACTTTTGGTGCAAAGCAAAAAATTGGAGCTGTTATATCTCAGGTGTATTTTAATGGATTGCCTTGAAATGTGGTATGTGAAGTAAGAGTCCAGTAGAACACATCCATTGAAAATATGTGATAGTTTGGATTACCACAGTCTGAGCTACAGAAGATGGAAAATTGCTAAACTATCACTCCTGTTAATAACACACAGTGTGTACTGCAGGTTGTTTTTTTGGCCACAAGACACAGTACCATTATCACTGGATGCCTCAACCAGTCAGAATGGGAATCATGCTTTTATTTTATTTTTTCTGTTTTATTCAGCCTATCGTAGATGATGGGCTTTTTTTAAGTTATTTCTGAGTGCCCACTAATTTGATTGGTTGTGTGTCTTACTGATCATTCATGATAAGGATGATGAGGAGTTACTACCTGAGGATTATGTCCATTCATAACACATACTCTGGGCTACTCCCCTGAGAATTTTCCACAGCAGGAGCAATACATAGTATTCCTCTTACCTGTTTATCCCACCACCTGTGTTCCATTGATGGCTCCACAAGTGCAATACACCATTACTACTCAGAAGACTGAACCCTTTTTATTCAGTTAAAGGATGTCATGATAATGCTGATAAGAATGCCTTCTTTTTGAATGTCCTTTAGGTCCAGTATTTTTATGAGGCTGGTACACTCCACACATCCTTCTTTGAATTTGGTTCTGCAAGTTATTTTCTTGTTTTAGATTTTACTAAGACTGTTTGGCTGCATATTTCTTGTAGTCTAAATTATTATCTTCCTGCCTTGTAGTTTTATGTTTTCAGTGTCTTTTTATGTTCATTGATTCTTACCTTCTTTACAGTGTGGACAATCTGGATTGCCCACACTGTATATCTCAGAGGTAAGTTTGCCTGATTTGAATTTTACTTTTTTAAAATTAAAATGAATTTCAAACAGGTACTTACCTCTGAAATACCTTCCCTCTGCCTCTCCACAACCAAAATTTCATCATGGCTGTAACTTTCAATAATATCTAAATTATAACAGTAAAGCAGAATTTATGTAAGATCTCCTGATGTTTGCAAAATAAGTTGTGTGAAAGGAGGGAGAATAGAGAAATATGAGTTATTCATACTCTGCAGTATGTAAAGGACATTTGATTTTTAGTTATGTTTTGTTAGCAGCATGAGTTCAAACTCAACAAAGAAAATCTCACTATTTCAGAGGTAAGTAGCAGCTTGAAATTATTTAATTCTAAAAATGTAAAATTTAAGGATTTAAAACATGGTTAGCCTTTTTTTTTCCTTTGTTTTTGAAGAAATAGTTTATGCAACCATTTTTAGTTTTTGTCATTTACCACGAAACGTTTTCACCTTGTAAAATAAATACCTTTGATAAACATTTTACAACTATATTTATATTACTAGTTGGATTTTTTTTATAGAATCTTTTGATGGAGCTTTCTAATGTAGACTTCCAAGCACCAGCAGTTGGTCAAAGGTTAGAAACTGTTAACTTTGATAACACAGGAGACTTTAACCCAAGAGGTGATCCTGTTACAGTTAATGGAAGTATCCATGTTCAAAATGGAAAAACACCAGGTAAGAATGCCATTTGAGACCTAAAAATTTGTATGCTTTCAGATTAATTTTTATTGACTATTTCATTGACTAACATCTTTTCCTGCAATATTAAGCATCTGGTATATTAGGTGTTACTAACAAATTTTGTAAATCTGTGTAATCAGAGCATTAGTGTTGAAAAACTGAGATATACACTATGTATTAGGCTAATAGTTTTTTTTCTGTAAGTTTCACGTGAACACTGTAACATTTTCTAAACAAAGTCAAGGTATAAGCTCCTAAATAGGAACAACTATAACTATTACCGTTCCATAAGTTTTTATAAGGTATTGAAGCTGAAAAAATCTTAATACATTCATATAAAACTATTTTTATATATGTTTAGTGTAAGATTTCATTTTCTAGGAACATATGCCACTCATCTAGTTAGAACACTCTTAGCTGCAACATAGCAGCTCATAGAACAGCTTTGAGTTTTTATTAAGTACAAACGTTTAGCTCATAGCTCTATCATTTCTTGACTGATTTGAGACCTAATTACAGTTTTGGACGAAGGAGGTCAAACCCTTTTGATTGATGTATTTGACCACGTCCAAGGTCTCATAGATTTACTCTAATCCTGCCTAAAATAATTTCAATTTGAGGGTAGACTGGTAGAGATCCTGATGAGTAATAAAATTGAATTGGGTATATGCACACCCCACATTTGGTATTGTTGGCTCACGAAAATATAGCTAATAAAAAGGAAAAAGAGGTCTCTTAGATTAATTTACTGTAATCCTGCCTAAAAGGATTTCAAGTGCCGTGACTATTGAGGATTCCCTCTTGTTCTGTTTAGAAGGTTTTTTTCATTATTATATTTATTCATTGCTTCCTAATGTATTAAGTAACATAAGAAAAAAAATCTGAGCAAACCTGAAGTATCTGTTTTGGCAATTATTGAGGTTAAAAACTGCTATTGAGTATGCACTTTTATTTTTCATTTTCACTGTGAAAAGTATGGATGACACACCCTGAAAAACTGCTTTAATTTTACATTGATAAAGAGATAAAAACCCTTTATATAAATAAACATGTATATTGGAAACAAGGGAGTACAATGTACTTTTTTACAATGTCTTTATTATTATTACTTTCTCTCTTTTTTTTAAGATTTGTTGATATATTAATTGTCCTTGTGTGAAAATCTTTTGTAATATCTTATTTTTTTTCTAAGATTTTGTGGTTTTTATTTGTTCTTGTAAATTGGTTAGTAGCTTATAAGGATACTATGCCATATTCACAAATACTTTTACTTGTAGAGGAGTAAAATGATTTTTATATAGCTCTGTGCTAATAGGCGTGAGACGTACAATCCTGAACTGAAATTCTAACTTCTCCATGTTTTTTTTTTTCACTGTAATGATTAAATTATTACACAATGTAAATAATAAATATCTATTGCAATCACCTTTTCCACAGTAGTATTATTTTTATATTTGACATAGATGAAAAACGTATGTGGTAGACTGCTATTTCTGATGGATTGAAAATAATATGATTTAATTCATAGTATATAAAAACATATATTCTGCAGGAATGTTGTCTAATCTACATATACGATTAGATCAAAACAATCAGACAGTAGTCCAGTCATTCAGAACACCTCGTTATTTTCCATTGTACCAAAGGAAAAGTAGCGAGTGGCTGGCCCAAGTCATTTTGTCCAAACATACCTATTTCATCTCGTATCAGTAAAACTTTATATTAAAAAAATAGTTATTCTAATTCCAAAGAAAAATAATCACATGGATTTAATTGGGCATTACAACCCATTGACTGCCGCTGCTCTAAATGTGCACAGAATTTTTGCAAGCCATACATCGTATGCAGCACACTTGCATTCAACTGCTGGAGGCAGACTGTACCATATATGATAAATCAGCAGTTAAGAGGTTAATTTACAATTTGGTAATTGAGTCATGCATTTTTATATTTATCACATTCATGATGGAATTAGCTTATTGTTGATAAATAGGCTTTCAACATTACAAGAATTTCAGTGACACTAGATATTTAACATTTGGTTTAGTAGCCGGCACTACATAGCTTTATTATTTAGCAATAATATTTTTCCTTATACTTAAGTAATTATTAAGTAATCCGTAGTTAGAAACTGTGCCTCCTCAAACATAAATATTAATTCCAGTAACTAAACTATACACCTGAAAAAAAGTTA